CATATATGTATATATATATTCGTTCATGGTTCAACTAATTGACGCTCTCTAAAGGAGTATATGCGTCACCAGCGGATCAAACTATCTCCCTTTATCACTTTTTTTTGTGAAAAAAATAGTTTTGAGGTGCCCCTTCTTGTCAGGGTTTATATGTCAGCAGAAGGTTTGCGCCGTTATACAGGCACAAGCTGTGACTCTCCTCAGAATTGCCCCATTGACGCCACAAGTGACCGCTACAATGATGGCGTATGTGCATATTTCACTGGGGCTTTATATAATTTTTTGTTCTTTTTTTTGTCTTCTGGGTGGTAAATGTGCGGCGTAATGCGGCCTGTTACGGGCGATGCGCTCTCACGCTGCTCTGATTCGCACTGACGCGGGTGTGTTGCATTTTTAGGTATATATATATATATATATCATATCTGGACGGCTTTCCTTAAAATTGTTTACAGGGGTGGGATGCTTTCATTTTGTGCGTTTTGCCCTCTTCCCGCCTCATGAGAGGTTTTCCTTTCTTTTAGAAGGTGGTTGTCTTCCAGCGGATTCGTGGGCTTGGTGTGCGGATGTGCCTCAAGGGGCGGCGAGGATTGCTGTCCTTCTTGCTGGCGCCGTATTGGAGGCGGGGAAGGCCTCGTTTGACACGAGGGGATATTTCACTTCTCTTTCAAAGCTCAGCTTCAAAGCCATGAGTGAAGTTGTCCCCGAGGGTTTCCTCCGCTTCAGTTCTGTGGCCTTTGCGTGCTCAATAATGGGGCGGCTCAATCCGGCTGCTGCAAAACTTTGCTGCAGCGCATCCTCGTGCATGCAGGATTATGCTCTGCTAAACTCTTAGTGATTGTGGCTGCTCCGCGGAAGCACCCGCCGAAGTCCGCGTACTTTGCGCGGGTGCGTGGCAAACTGTGGAGAGTGTAAGTGGTTTGGCTCGAAGAGTGCGGTGGCCTCTTCAAGGCCTTCATCATTGGTTCTTGTGGGGGTCACATTGCGGCGGGAGGCTGAGGTGAACTTACCGCGGCGCCTGCGAGGACTTTAGCGCGGTCCATGTGAGAGTGACCTGCCGGCGCGAGGGTGTCTTCCCGGCATTGGACGAGTGCGTGGAAGTTGCGTTGTGCTGAGAAGGATCACCGTCTTCGCTGTCCAAAGGTGTGAGCACCGTGGGGCTGCGCTTGATCATACTGGCGCCGAAAACATGCGTTTTGGATCGGCAGTTGGTTCCTTCTCCAGTGGGTCTGTTCGGGCACGCGCAGCGATTGAGAGGGTGCCCTTCCACCTGCGTATGTATATATATATTTTCATGTCTTGCAGCCCCTTCGCTCTACGCTGAAAGCGACGTCACTTTGCAAATAAAGCGCGCAACGCTGTGCACATCCTTGTCAACTTCTTCTCGGCCCCCGTAGCAAGCGGGAGGGCGTTGGCCCGACGACAGTGTGCCTTGTGCCACTGCAGACGTTGGGGCGCGAGTGTACTCTTCGTTACAGGGCACTCGTTTTCACCCAACACGATGCGTGTGCGCATGGTGCAAGGCGCCAAGCTGCGCGCAGCAGGGGGTCGAGGCTGCCAATTATTTTTCCCAACAGGCTCAAGAGAGGGACCCAAACGTGGCAGCTCTCGGGTGGCGGAAAGGCGGCGCGCTGCAACAGGATGCCCGCATACGATCACGTACATGTTCCCCTTTTTGTGACGCGGACGCATGCGGTCGGGGATGTCCATTTTCAGCACCCACGCCGGACCAAGCCTGGCGAAATTATGGCAGACAATACGTGGTGGTTCCTATCAACTTTCACGCGTGCAGAAGATGACTGAAGCACAAACAGAAACGTAGAAGAGAAAAAGCACTCAAAATTACTTCACAAAGTACAGCAGCAAAAGGACACCGATGCTTGCTTTTTCGACACTGTAGAATGAGATGGTGCGGTCTTGCGCCTGTCGTTTCCACACTCATGGGCCCATCCTCAAGTGGGGCAATTATTTGTCCTTGTGGGAGGAACTTGGTGTGACGGCGGGAGAAGGAAACAGGTTTGGTGGCCGCAGGAATCCCTTCCGAAATCACACCAGAGTGCAGGGCTTCCATCGTCTGCGGCTCTCCGAGATGTGGGTAGTGCTCGGTGCCGCTGGACTTGTCCGCGGCGACACTTTGACAGAAGAGGGCGAGTATGTGTGCCGCCACGACTTCGCATAATGGGCGCACGTCGGAAACATGCGCATCTTCGCCTCACAGAGGAGATGTTTTGGCGTTTGCCTTCACTTTTTCCGGGGATTTCTTATTTTATTTTATTTTTCTTGCCGGGGCAGGAATTCTTCCTTGTGGAAGTACTCGATGAAGCGGGCTGCCACCGGCGTTTTCTGTGCCTGAGAAGACGATGCTACGCTGGGGGTAGCGAGGGACGCGAGCAAGGCCACAGGGATGAAAACTTCCACCGCTATAACTTTGGCAGGGCTTGCTCTCGGCTCCACGACCAGTTGCATCACCCCCACAGGATGTTCTTTGAGGAAATTTATTGGCCCGAGGGCGGGCGCATGCACTGGAAAACACCGTAACAACAGTGCTATTAGTTGTGCATTGTATACGTGGGACGAGTTTCATCAAAAAGTTTTACATGACACCCTCTCTGGAACTTGGTTTTCCCCTCTTCCTCACATCTCGGCGTTCCCTGCACGTGGACACTGTGCCCACCGCGTTCACGGACTGTTTACGCGAGAGCGGCTTTTATTAACCCCCCTCCCCTCCCCTTGCAGTTGGAGTCGTCGAAGAATGTGCGGGGGAGGTGGGGGTTTCAGGAGCCACGTGGTCTCTATCGGCGTTGCCTGCGTCCCTCAGAGGTGTCGGCCTTTGGGTGCTCCAACCACGTTTTGCCTGCCGTCTTGGCAGCTCTTGTAGCGGAGGGTCGAGCAGTTCTCATGGATGTGAAGGAATGAAACTCTGTTTGGCGGGGGAGAAGGAGAGAGCGTGTGTGCGGGGGTAGTTGGCGCGTGTGCGGCGCCTGGTTGGTGCTTCACTTCCTTTGCTATTATTATCATTACAATTCGCAAATAATGGCCTTGGATACAACACGCAGGGCACATGCGACTTTGAGTGAGTTTGCTCCAGGAGGGTTTTTGTCCACCTCTCTCTTTCTTTCTCTCGCTGTGGGTCTGTTTGTGTGCCATGTGTTCGTGGGGATGACCCTTCTTCCGTGTTGCGTGCCTGACTCATGATCCGCAGCTGGTCTTTGACAACCAGCTGAGAGTTTGCGGTGGATTGTTGAATCGTACTTTGCTCTTTGCCGCGGAATGACAGTGACATTCCAGGGTGCGACGACCCTTCCTTCACCGTGGCCACGTGCGCGACAGCATGCTGTTGCTTGACGTGGAGTGAGGCAACCGCGGTGCCTGGTTGCTTTGGTACTCCGCACGCAGTGCACAGGGAGACGACCGGTGGAGAGGCCTCGGGACACTCCTCGTTGCGCAGGGGCGTGCACACCGTTTTTTCTTCTTCCTTCATTGACGTCTCTGGCGCCGTAAATGATGCATGCGGTTGCCAGGAATGCGTGCGTGGTGGAAGCAGCGGGCGAAGAGCTCCTTCTTCTGTGCCCACTGGCGAGCCCTGCCTCAGGCTTCTGGGAGGGCTCTCGTTCCCTGGGACAAGTTGTTTCCCGTGCCACGCCACTGGTCACTCTGCGCGGGTTGCCATGTTGGTGTGTGCTGCACCCTCACGCGGAGAAGCCGCACGACGCTTAACGCCGGTGCGCCTGTGGACGTACGGCGGTAACGATGCGACCGCTTGAGGAGACCCCGCAAAAGGACTGGGATGGAGCGGAGTGGGTCGACGGCAGTGCGAGAGAAAAGGGAGGCAGCAAACGAAACACGCATTTGCTTGCTGACGTGCTGTTGCGTGTGCCACGGCCGCCATGCGTCTTCAAGGGGGAAAAAAAGAAAAAAAAGAGAAAAGAGGAAGACGACGACTGATGCGCACCCACTGCTTCTCCGTGGCACTACAGACTGCGATTGCCATTTATGCGGATGCAACTGCCGTCTCACACGCATCCGAGCATCCTCCACCGCCTGCGCCCGCCGCTTGCTGGTGCTGCGAAGGGAGTTGGAGGTGACATCTCATCATTGGTCTGCTGAATTTGGTTTCCTGTTGCGCAGGCGAAGCAACTCTCACTGCGGCTGATGCGCGTATTTTGCGCCAGTGGTGTTAACGGGATATTGCACCACTGCGTCAAGGCAGCGCAACTTCCATTGTCCGTTTTTTTCCCCC